ACACATATACACAGGGCCTGTCTTTGTCTGTCTTTGTCTGCCGCGTTTCAATTCCATCCGACTATCATTCACGATCTTCCAGAAGATAACGCGAGCGTCCGGAACATTGCTGGAATTCTCCACAATAAACCATATCTAATAGCCGCGTAAACGGAAAAACGAACAATTCGCTATTTATCGGAGCGTGGCGATCAGCCAATTCATTTCTTTTATTAACGTCCGTCGGTATGAATCGGAAGCGACGCGACTCGGATTAAACGAAATTGAAAACTAACCGGATCTTTGCGTTGAATGAGCGTTGACATATCAAAAAGTAACGAGAAGGGTAATGATTTCACGAAATTGAAAATCTGAGTATAAAGAGTAACCTACTGGGTTTTTTTTTCACTGATAACTTAATGCTCTATTATTTATTGTTTTGCTGAATCTTATTTACTTATTTAATTATCGGTTGATTATTAATAGAGCTTTCGACTTACGATGGAAACGCAAAGTTCATTATCCACACAAATGTCGGCCGGTATAACCGAATGCGCAGATGGAATACGAATTTAGCCGACGCGACGATCGAGGTCGGCTTTATTTGCCGCCCCGTTCCCGAAGCTCAGGAGGTAATTATTCGGATAATCGTAGTAATCCCTCGCAAAGCTTCGCTTCTCTCGTCTCGTTCCGATCGCGAGAATCGATTAGTGCGTACACCCGTGCGAGTCCGGCTTCTCCGCGTTGTAATGGCGCGCAGCGGCTCTCATTTGCATGAAGAATCGATTACGCAGATTCCACCGGGGCACAGGGATGTTTTTCCTATCATGATCTGCGTTTAACCATTCGTTCTTACAAATTGGCGCGGCTGACCGTGTAACTGTAGGCCCCGGAGATCATTGTCGCTCGTGTTTCATCTGTGTTTTTTCAAATGCATTTAAAAAACGATATTATCTTTAAGGAACTCCGAAAGCCTTAATATAATTTGTAAGAACTCTAAACTTTTAGAAAATAAGAAAGCTTTTACAATTTTCGTTGAAATAATAGTCGCGCAACTGAAACCGGTTACGAGGTCGTGGACCTTCCATCTACGAAAACCGAAGAAAGGAGAAAGTGGAACGTAGCGGCGAGTGTTGCTGACCCACAATCTCTTTCGTCGATATTCTCGGTTTTTCTCTTTTTCTCGACTCAAAGAGAGTGTTACTTCGCGTACCGTGAGTGCTCTTCTGACAAGAGATTACTTGCTGACATATTTAATCGTATCAACTACGATTTCCAACTTTCTCTTACGGATTCTTATAATATCTCTTTCGGAATCCGACACTTCACATGCAACGGTCCAGTAATTTGACAACGTAAAAGCTCCTTCATTTACACAGATACCCAAGAAATAGAACGAGTTAAAATAAATATTAACTCTGTTACTCGCATGGGATCTAAAATACATCCCTGCCTGAAAAATCTATTAAATTCACAGAGTAAAATGTTTTTACATTGATTGAATGCTACACAAATTGCTTCGCAATTAAAGAAAAACTTTTACACTAATTTTTGGAAGATACATATATAAAATATTAGATATCAATCTTTATTTAATTGTAAATCATCAAAGAAAATAAAAATTAGATCTAATGTTGTGTAAAATACACCCCACACGTAATGTATGTTAATATATGATAATTATTTGAGAAAACTTTGAATCATCGACGTCATCCTCGATGACTCGTCAATTGAATTATTCGCTGTAGAAATGTGAAATAATTACTTTCACATCGGAATTGAGCAAATCGACAAGCGTTTTTTGTTGTTACGTTGAGAGATCTAGCGGAGAATCGGTATCCTCCTCCTTTATAGTCCTTGCGTGCTTGAACATTTCTAATTCGCAGAGGCACGCATTGCGTATCCCATTACGGCGACGCGGATATAGCGGATGTATCACGATACGCGAAGTCACGTATAAAGGTAGGGAATTCCAGCGGCGACGATAACGGTAAGCTGGATTCTTTTTATTGCGAAACGGCATTTCCCCCTGCGCTTATTGTCTCGCGGAAAGCGCGCGAGTAACCGCTCACCAATGCGTTCGCGACGCGTGCATCGCTCCGACGCGGCCTTCGACCGTCAGCATCGACTGAAAAATCATTGAAACGCGGAACGCGCCACGATGCAATTTTGAAGCATGCCGAATTCCGCGACGAGTTCACGATGAACGGGGGCGTTCACGCTTGTAGCGTTCGCCACGATGCGAATATGCGATAAATGCAAAATGTTTCGCGCGTTCAGTTGCACATACCTCTTTCCGTTCTTTTTTCCTCCCCGTGTTTTTTATCCGTGTAGTACCCTCCGAAACAATCTGATACTATTCAATATACTATTTCGGCATACTATTTCAATAATTCAAAGTATCGAATTTTCATGTACGAGGGTGGCTCAGAAATTTCGTGTATATTCTCGTATAAATTATGCTCGATAGTATGAATAACCGAATATTATTTAGAGGATGGTGTATTAAATATAACGTAAGAATTAAATTGTGGCAACTAACATGTATAAATTATAAGAGAACGATGGAAAATTTCATGATATCATAAAACAATGCGAACGTATTGATCTTAACGATGTCACGGAAATAAATATATTCAATATTCTATTTTCTGCTCGCTATAACGCAACACTTATAATTCCTATCTATATGTCAGTGTTTTAATAATTTAAGTCTAATTACGAAATTATTAATTTCTGTACGTTTTTAAATCGCATTTGATATTATTAGAACTCGTCTCTTCCTCGCGCGTATGTTAAATTTCACATTTATATTGAAATTTTTCGTAATATTCACTATTCTGCTATTATATAACACTTTTCATTGATATCATGGATATTTAACGCGTAAGTCCATACAATCAAATTGCATTCCACGATATATACTAAATAAAATTCCAAATAATATAATAATCCACATATTGCACTGAACATTTTGCAAAGCATCATTCTCACTAAGATATCGAATGTTATGATCTGACGGAACATGTTTAGATAGAATTGCATCGCGAATGCGATGTAACGCGACCTTCAAATAATAAGCATAACTATAAGCGCATGCACAGAGTGAATGCAAAGAACTTGGTCTGTTAATAAGTCTTTTGCATGCGTTATGCCTTCGTACAAGCCTCAGGTACGTACCATTACATTGCGATATGTGCATTGCGCGAAATAGAAAGTGTCAATAAATCTCGATATTAATTGGTATTTTATCGCAAGGAGATTAATATCGCTTGTCTTTTCTTATCGATCGCTTGTCGATGCGTTTATTCGCCAGACAGCTACGATCATACAAATCGTGAAATCAAATTTGCGCACGGTAATATTCGTGTGAAAAAGTGTGATTACATAATTAAAAATAAGTGCTGACGTTTCCAGACGGTTTCAAAATTTTATCCCATGGACCCAGCGAATTAAAAACGTTTGCGTGCATACATGGGTATTTTATTACAGCCAATTTCATCGCGAATATTTTATATTTCGTGAAGTGCCCTTGTGTAATTAAACTTTGAAAAATTAAACTGTAACATTTTGATCATTAATGGACGGTAATGTAATGATTTAACAATCAACGATCGACGTCGCCTTTGTTTTAATTACAACATACATTTCACCCTGCCATGCGGATGAGATATATTCGGTCGCGCATTCATCCGCGCTTATTAAAAATGAAGTGCCTATTTGCAAAGGAATGTTTGACAAGGTCTAAGCGCGAGCCAGCATTGTCACATTCGTTATTGCTGTCGTTATGTATGGCTGTCGATTGCGTTTTTAGAAATTAATGCCTGCATTCTCTCACGGCTTACGTTCTGCGTTCATTGTTATGTATTCTAAGGGCCAAGCGCACGCGACGCTGTTAAAAATTTATCAATACGCGAGCCGCGCAAATATCGAAACAATGTTTCATTTCTCTTGCTATATTAGGATCTTTCTATCGCTGTCGTGCTTTTGTAATTTAGTATACTTCGACAAATTTTAAAGAAATAAAAGTTGAAAATAATAAAAGTTCAAAATTTATTAAAAGTTAAAGAGCGAGCTAAGAAGCGAGAAAGAAAGAATAGATTTTATTTATTAAAAAAAATAATTATTAATTTTTATTTTTTAATGATACAGAAGAGAACAAGTTAATAACTCTTTTTAGTAGATATATAGATATGATACTGTTTGTATAAATTTCATCTATTTTCTATTTCATTATTTTTGTTTAACATTTATTTTATTACAATTTAAATTAGAAAGTTTAAATTAGAAGGTTAGAAACATTGCGTTCATATCTGTACATATATGCGAAACATATTGTCAATGATAAATTGTTGCTACTGTTTATATATTTTTGATTTTCATCAAGTACATTGAATAACACTGTTAGAAAATGATGTTTTTATACGGCGAAGATTATCATTCCGCGTAATTTTCGTCTTCATTAGGAGCAGACGCGCAGATTCTAAGGATAAATGCGGGCGTCATTCTCAAAAATTTATAAGACACCAGTCGCACCCTCTCGGCGACTTTTCAAGCAGATCCTCACAAAAGCTGTCTCTCTCCAAAGTTTTTGTCCGACCCTTTGCTTGCATGTCGCACCCTCGAAATTCGCCCTTTCTCGTATCCACGGTTTATAAATCTTTAAGGACGCATCGAGGTACTGAAAACCGACGGCGTCTTTGTTCGACGAGCTCCGTTTATCCGTTACAAAATGTCTGGAATATGTTAAGAGTATGATAAATTATTAAAGAATTACACACACACACACAAAATAAATAATTCACTATTAGACTTGCGAATGTGTTCGAAGAAACGATCAATACTGTCAACTTGATTTTTCTTTTTATATAAATCAATAAATTAATAATTAAAATTAATTAAATTGTAAAGGTAAAATGTTTGACGTCTCACAATATTCTTATATATAAGGAAGAAAAGTAAATCTCCTAAACCTATTTAAATATTCGTAAAGCTAACGAGGCTGTCTCGTTATGTTTCAGCAATCATGGCGCACTTCTTCTTCCTGGCTGCTTTCTTCTGGTTGAACACGATGTGCTTCAACATCTGGTGGACGTTCAGGTGAGTCGTGATTTGGTGTAGCCTGTATACTGCTTTAATCTCAGCGATTTGGACGGGTTTAACTAATGTCTCTTTTATTCTAAAATAACAAAATACCCAATTATTCCGACGAATATCGATATGCGATAATGGCGGAATAAATTCTAATTAACGTGTCGCCTCATTACAGTCCGAAATAATTATACAATGCGGATAAATCGTCCGTAGGCAAGCGAACGATTATAATAATTGAACTAAATTTCAGGGAAATTCTGTACGTTTCTTGCCTACGGCACGTTGGGGCTAATTAAAGACCATTCATCCATACGTAATTATAAAAAGTACTGGATCGCGCGAGAGGACGTACAAATCACAAATGCAATTGTATCCTCATTTATGCTCACATCGTTCGCATAATCGCTGAGATTAAAGCAGTATCCAAATCGCTAAACTCGCATTTTATACGTTTACGAGGTAAATAAAGCGAGGGTCGCAGATAAATAAGCGCATCTCAATCTTTCTAGACTTTCCGTTGCAATTTGCTTCAATCACCCGATAATTCGGAATTCCTTTCGAATCGTACGTAGGAATTAGCTATTGTTTCTGCAACGTTTAACCGTAAGTATGCGTTTCATGCTTGGTGTTTCCGTAGAATATTTCTGGACAAAAATATATCACTTTCGTAGAGCCAATTAACCCATTAATTATGCGTCATGATTTATAACCGAAAGATGCATAAGTACTCTGATTACTAGCGAGATTGCCTAGATTGCTGTTCACGATGAAAGCTTTGCTCGTCGGGAGAACCGAATGCACGGGAGATTGGATCAGGATCACTCGGTCGACTGGTTAATGCGATGCAACACGGTCACTATAACGGGTCTCGTTCTCGGTACTTGTGGTTCCACTCTCTTTTCTGTTTTGTTTCTTTTTCGCCTGTTCTCCCCTCTCCCCACCGCTCCGTTTCTCGTCATGTTTCTTTGCACGTTATTTTCATGGAGTTCTCTTCTCAATCGAGAACTTATCCACCGTCTGGATCTCGCCACGCGTAATTATCTACGCTCGCAGTTGGACGTGCCGATTTATGACACGCGGCACGAGATAAATTGATAACAACTTTAGTTACGCAGAGTCATAATGTAAGAATTTGGAAAAATTCGCATGCAATCGATTTATGTATTGGTTCTTATATTCTTATATTCATATTTTATTCGATCAAATCGAATTGCAAATCAGGTCGGTTTTGCATTAACGATTTCAAATAATATTCGTGAAAACAATTGTGGCAAAACACGCAAGCGATAAAAAAGCGCGCGTTAACACATTCCTTCTTAAAAATGGTTTCCATAATATCGCGTTTTTAACTCGTGCCGTGTACCTCGTAACGTTCGTTTCAATTCGCGTCATTCCTAATGCGCGGAGATAAACTCGCACAACAATAATACACCGGAAAACGCTAACTAACCGCGCGTAACCAACGGTATCTCCCGACTTTTCGCGGGTCGGTGGCGTGGGTGGCAGCTGAAAATATATAAACGCGCGCGGTAAGCCGCGGTAAGCATGTATATCAACGGCCCTGACTTTTCATGATCAATGCGGTTCGATGAACTTGCACTCTCGCATCGTTCACACTTTTTCTCCGTATTCGCGTCTCTCTTTCTCTCTCTCTTGCGCGCGCGCGCATACACATCACGCATGCACACGCACACATGTCAAAACTGTCGGCGACACGTGCGCGTGTATCCACTTGTTGAAGTGTCAGCGGCACGTTGCGCGTTCACGGTGGCTGCCTCGTGTGCCCCGTGATTTTCGAGCTGGAAAATTATCCTGATGTCATTTGCGGCTGCATGTGCGCGCGCGTTTCTGCACGGTCGTTGCACTGACCACCACTGTTGCATTGCCGATGATCTCTTTTTTTTCCTTCGGTCTGTTGACTCGCTACTGTCAGCGATGTTCGCCTATCGCTTCGCTCATCACCGAATTAACGCGTTGTCCCATACGAGATGTTATTGCTCAACAAAGCGAATAACGCTAACCCTCGCAAATTTCAGACGGACAAATTCGCGAACGCGTGGACAACTCGAAATGAAAATAATAATACATTTTCGTACGTGCTAAATGACTTAAATTCAAAGAATATTTCTAACTTTTAAAAGAAAGAAAGAGAGATAATAAATGATTAATGAAAAATCGATCACACTGCAAAATAACATAAAACAAAATTTTAGAAATATCTTTGAAACATTTTTTTAAGAGAATATTTTTTAAACTTTTATTTGTGTAATTTTATTAAAAAAAAAAATATTTTTTATTTAATCTATTAAAATTTTTCATTTTAGGATAAGAATTGTTGTAAAAATATACGCGCATAGCATATAATATATATATGATAATGTATAAATAACTATACATGTACTAACAGTACTCAGAAGCAATTTCTGGCAGTTTTCTTTGTAAATGGCTCTCAAGGGAAATTATTCGTGCAATGAGAAGACCAATGATTCGCGACAAGATCGAGTTACATAAGATATAATTTCGCGCAAACGTGATGGATGGTGAAAAAAGAGACTTCCTTCCGGGGTGGACCAGTTAGATAAACATTGCGGTTACAAGAAGGCCGTTGTGTCTTGCGAAATTTGATGAGTACTTACTCACGGAGGCCCAGTTTCAGATATTGGGTCACGTTCCTCTTGGCAACGACTTCGACGTTCAAACAAGCCGTCAATGGACGAGAATCGATCTATTTATAATTAACTGACCGCAAAACCCGAATGCGTTTTTTTTAAGACCGATAAAAGAGATCGAGGAAAACAAAAGGGCGGCGAATAGAAGGTAAATCCGCGTAAAATCTTGCAAGAATTCCAAGAATATTCGGCGAAGCGGAAATTTGTCGAGTTTCGAGGTTCATTGATGCGGAATTCGGAAGCGAATTAGTAGGAGAACCGAGGGAAAAAATTTGGTGACTCGAGAGAACGAGGGAAGCAAGATAACGAGTTGCTCTCGGGGGCAGAGAAGGGAGATTAATCGACTATCATTATGACACGGTCGCTATAAATCCGGTATGCTTAATCACGGTATACTTAATCTCGTCATAGCCTCTTCTTAGTAGATTAAGCACTTTTTTAATGCTAGCGTTTCGCAGTTGATAAGATGATAACAAATTACACTGTCACTTAAGGAATGAGGTATATTTTCTCAGGAGAAAATATATGTAGATTAAACGGATCGAGTTACTTTAGTACAATTTGATAAAGTGCAAATTGCATACATTCGCGCGTATACATTTATTTTTATCTGCATAAAGTTTTTTATAAAGAAATATTTATTATATTTATTATATATACAACGATTTCGTCATCAAGATTATTTTAATCGCATCACTCACTCATTCGCACGCGGCCGAAGAAATCGAGGCGGTCAGTATCGAGAGCGAGATAAACGAAGTTAATGAACTACTTAGTCCTTCGGGAGAACACTGAACAGAAGAGACCCTAACGAACTGTCCTTTAATACACACACGGCAAAACACTCGACCGTTTCACGCAGGACGATGTACGCCGGCTCTGTTTTGCTTTCCGCCAACTGGCTCGACTATTGTTTTGCAGGGAGTCTTTGAGATTAGTTTTCTCGTTGCTGACAATGACTGATTGTGTTGCTCAAACTGAAGGCGAATTCTTTTTTCCAATAAATTATCATTGAAGCACGACAGTTTTAATAACTGACATATTGATTCTCTTAACATCTTTAGAAGCGGTTTTCCGTTCTCCTCCATAAACCGTTGCTCATAAATTTTTCTTCGCTCTCCTCGAACCGCGAGAATTTTTTACTTTAATTGTACGATCCGACGATAGACATTTTTATAAAGAGTGTATTGCGTTTATTACGTGCCCTGCATTTACTCGCGCGTTACGTAAGCATTGCTGGCAGAGCATTTTTATCAGGGAACAAACGACAGAGATCTGCCGAGCGCGGATTAACTTCGTGAAAAATCCATGCTCCGCTTCGGCACGGCACGGCAGATGCTGGCAGCGACCGGAATGCAAATTCGTTTAGAGAAGAAACGCTAAATGCGCGCCGAGGTCACGCAGCGATGCGAGCGTGCGCGTACCGACTCGACGGCGCACAGCGCAGCGGTTGCAGTGACCGTGGGAAGCTGCTTGGAAGATGTTAGGTAATTGAACAATTTCTCAGAAAATAGAGGCGCGAGAACGCGTATCGGGATCACGAGAAAGAGATAGAGAAAGAAATAAAAAAAAAGGAGCGAGAGAGAAGGGAAGGCGGAAAACATAAGCACGGGAAAACGCACGACACGGCCTTCGCGTGCAATTAAACGTAACGGTTGATGGCATCGGGTTCCCATTGGTGTAATGTCGCAGGCGCTACTAATTGACGCAACGGGAGGTGGCGTCGAATGCCCTTCGGTTGCTTCTGTCACGGAAGCCCAACGCAAGAAAATTACACGAATCGGAATCGGTTGGGTCGATTCAATTTACCCGCGCTCTATATTGTAATCAACGATGTACTTGTAAGCGAATATCGTTGGGCGTATAACTGAAACAATAGAGTATGTTCATTAAAAACGGATCTCTATAGAACGCTGCTACTTGATACAATTAAATCATTTAAGTGATTACTATAGTTATTCTTGAATATCGTTTCACTTGACTGTAATAATTTTTGAATCACAATTAAAACAAAAGTAATTTTGATGAAATAAACTTAATAAGATTAATTGTGATTCAAAAATTATTAGGATAAGAATTATTGCAAAAATATATGCATATATATAGCATACAAAATTTATTTTCCGAATGAACATGTGTGAAAGACATAAAACGTCAATATTATAGAACAGAAATCATTTTGTCGTTTCGCAAGCGATGTTCGTTTTATTCCTGTTTATTCAAACATCCTAAATGTCGAGGTATAACGGCGCGTATTACTCGAACGATCGTCATCATCGGTAGAGACGCCGCCAAGTGCTATAAGCTCAGTATTTGAGATCCCTCGGGTCAGTGCTC